TCGCGATTGCTGAACAAGAAAACGACACATTCATATTCCAATGCCGAGGTTAAGAGAAAGTCGATCCTGGGAACTATTTTAACTACCTTAACTTCGCCGTGTATAGCAATTATTTAGTGAAAAAGGTCTATGTGATAACCTGTTTTGATGTTTCTTCCATTTTTTTCAAAGTTCTTAAATGATGGGTTCTAATAAGACTATGATGGCATTCGGTTCTCGGTCGATTCAGTGAATAACACGTGAGTTTCCGGAAAGGGTAGTCGCCGGTTCGGAGCGCACCTAAGGTCCTAAGTTTCGCTCACATTTCAGCATTTCTGTGCTTTTATTCCATGTAGTACCTTGCCATGAGGAAAGAATAGGCAGTAAATAAAAGTTAGAATACTGTAAAGGCATTGTTCCTGATCATATTCATAACAACGATGAGATAAGCTTTTTTCTTCACACCAGGGCAACTTGTTAAATGAAGTGTTGCAGTTTCGTTCGTTTGGTTGTCAGTGGTTCTTGATAATTTATTGTCAGTATTCCTTTTAATTTTCATTTCTAACTGTTGTAGCTCTGATTTTATTGGAAATTTTCCTGAAAAGTTTCTTGATGTACATTTACTTACTTGTATGGTTTGCGTTAAATACAAGTCGTCCCGCCTTTGAGCTATTTGTACTGATGGCATTTTCCTAGGTACCATCTCTTGTCTTGTTCACGAATTTTGCTTCTCTTTTGTTATTAAAATCCAGCTAATTAACGTTAAGCAGAACCACGTCGCTCACTTTGTAAACTCTCTCCATTGAAATCACTAATATGTGCTTAAATCCACTCCCCTATTCTTAGCGCCCTCTTTCACCAATTTTTGCTCTGTCATATCATCTACGCTGCACTTCAGATCTATGTTTCTGGAAAGTCCGAACTGCGAGGTTCGGTACGAAGTCGTATGTAGCGATTGTTATTCGTAGTTATCGTTCACGCGCTGTTTGGTTGGCGTGAAAAAGCGCTGGACATAATTGAGCCTGTAGCACACATCTCAGATCTAAAGTGCAGCAGTAGAAATACTACCGAGTCGAACAACGCATTACGATGATCAATTGATCAGAATGTTCTTTTTGATGTCTGAAGGTTTCCATAACATGTCTTACAATGCTTTGCTCTTCCTTGTAGATTTGAGAAAAATTTTATTAGTACGTCTGCAACTTTCGTCGTAGTTGAGCGATTTTCAATGACTTCCAAAGAAGAAATAGACAGGCTCGGTGAGACAGCGTCCTGACCTTGTTGACCACATTTTTTTAGCGTAGTCAAGACATAGGGTCTAGTTCCCTTTTAGGATAGTAAGGACGTTTTCTTGATGGTTAGTTAAGTTTTTTGCAGAGCTTTGAAAGTAATCATGTCAGGTTATTATGTGGTTGCTCCTAGAGCTGGGATGATCTTATAGCATAACTTTTAGATGAAAGCATTCAGTATTCTTCGCAGTTTCTACGTGCCTGCCTGCTGGTGTTTCAACCATGCGTTACTGTTAGACACTCACCAATGCTCTGTTATCTTCGTAAGCAGTTGATTACTTCTGGAGGAGTAACCTGGAAAGCAAATAAGTCAGTGAATGCAAAAGTTAGCTTTTAAGACGTTGTATTATTAGCTGTCAAATAGAAATGCAATTTGTTGTCATGAGACCGGAAACTTTGTAGTTTTTCACGAGCTTTAAGGCGAAAAGTTTTGTTGGTTAGATGAAATTGATGTTTTATTATTAATACAAGCATCTGTAGTTGGATTCTATCTATTATCTTGAACACTTACGCAGCACGTTTAGTGTGGTTCCTATCACATTTTCCATCCGTTTCTTTTCCTCACAATCGTGTTCTCTGGTGGTGATTTGATAGAGCATGGTTGTGGGTGCATGTCTCATACTGTGATCTGCAAAACAACAGCAGCTGTGGGTACAACTTCCTAGCTTCAATAACGAACACGTCTTCCCAGCTTGTACACGGTCGTCCTAGGGGACGCCTGAATCTTCGTAGAGTCCGTTCTATAGTTCTTTTCGTCCATTTGTCGTCCGTTTTTCTCATTATCCAATTCGCCCATCTATAATATGTTTCGCTATCCATACGTATTCTTTTGGGTCTCGAATATGGGATTGACTGTGCCTTCATTATCCATATCTTTACTATATTTATATGTTTATCTTGTCTGTTATCACTATGGATTATTCATATCTTGGCTTTTGGGGAGCTCAAACTGCGCACTCAATTCGAAGCGACTCTGAAGATCATGGATCACTGTGAAGCTTCACGATAAGATTGGCAGTGGACTCGTAGCGATGCCATTCTAAAATTGTCGACATCGCTGTTATGTGAACCCATAATGAAAGTGTTTAATGGTCCCGCGTTAGCTTGTGGAAAAAGTTATTGAGAAGGTAGTGATATAAATACTCGAAAACTATGTATTTAAAATGTATCTATTTACTGCCTGTTGTTTTTCATGAAAAGGTATGATGTGAAATACAACCATAATTATGCTGATATATTTGCACAACTTTGGACCGAAGGTGTCTGCGGTGGGTATCGAACCTCGTTATTACCCTTCCCGGGGGCTAACGTGTCCACCACCACACAATGCGAGTCCTTTATTTTGCTTTCCTCTCAGCCGTGTTTTATTGGCGCTATCGCCAATCACTCGCCAACGGGATTGATCCGAGAAGCGCAAATCGGCATTGAACCCAGTTATGCTGAAGTTGTACTATAATCACAATGTAATCACTTCGTATTTTCGTCTTTTTGTCAGTGTTATCGAAGCGTTTGGCCTAGTAAACTGCATATCAGTATAACCCTCCAGGCTCTGAAGAAGGCAATACTGTCGAAACGTCAGCTACTGTTGTGTTGTATTGTTTTTCTATGGAAATAAATGTATGCTGTATACCAATCTCGCGATTTCTGAACAAGAAAACTACTATGTATTTGATTTTGTAACATGTGAAGATTATGTCCTGCCATGATCATCCAATATCCCAAAAAAACGCAGAGGGTTCATTCCTCTTATTAACTTGGCAACACCGTACGCCTATAGACGATGGATTAGTTGCAATCCTTTTCGAATAGATACCTTAATAAGGAATAATCGGCTTGTTAAATAGTCAGAAAAATACGACGAAAAATTTACAGTTTGTGCTCTTTTTATTATGGTCTATACTACTGTGCCTATTTCTTTTTTACCTCATTATCGTTCAGATACATCTTGCTCACGTATGCCAGCTCATCGTTTACTACCACCGCACATGGCTGCACGATCAAGCAATCGCAGTGTTGATTTGTGTTGGTGCGTTGGACAACTTTGTAACGACTATCCAAGCGTTCCTATGAACTCAGTGTTAGTAACTTCATTCTTTTCGTTTAAGAATATTTCATAAGCGAGTTCACAATGAAGAATCGGAAAATGTATGATGCCGAACTGTATTTTACGATAGTACCATCGACACACGAAAGAGGACTGTGCACGTACTACACATACTGATTTGTTCAATACATATATCACCTACATCACCTGTTGTCTCCTTGATCATTGAGTGACTCGAACGGGCGCCTGCAAATCTTCTAACCTTCCCTGTCGCGTGCAAGAGTAGCCCAGTTAGTTCTACTCGATCTAGGGACTCTTCGGGCATTATAGCTTTTTTCAAGGCTCTTCGTGAACAACTCTGACTATGGGGTCGTTGATCGATGATCTGACCATGGGGTCGTTGATCGATCACCCGCAGTGCGTTTGAAATCCCGAGGAGTCCTTTTACCAACGGTTTTTGTCCATCGGTTGTCGTTCATACGCTTTACGTGTCCGACCTCCTCTATCTTCGACATTTTGGCGTGTATTCAATATATACATGGACAGCCCGTCCTCACTGGTTGTGCGGGCCTTTACATAATCTTTTTTTTTTCGGAGTTTTGTTGGTTTAGCCATTGTGTTTCCCTGGAGTTTCGAGGTTATCCTGGCCCAACTCTGTCCCAGATCGTCACCGCTACAAGCAGTCGCCACCCTTTTGGATCGGAGATAGATTTGCCACCATCCGACTAGGTTTATACCATGACGGTAGTGGATCCTGACATTAGTTTACTGTTAACTGGGCTTTCTGGTGGAAACGCCGAACTCCTCCCTAGCTTGGGAGACCTTACCGGGAATGGTTCACTCGCTGTACATCGCAACCCAACACCTAGGGACACCACCCACCCACGGGGAGGTGGTAAGTCATTGGCAGGATTCAATACATATGCATAAGCAGAAATGTTTTATTTCGTTTAAATGAAAAGGAAATACGAAACAAAATGGTAATTAAGCTAACACGAGGTTGTTGTTGGACTTTATTCGGATAACGTATCGAGGTCTTCGTCTTTTCTAGAGTCGATTGATCGGAGTCTATAGACAGAAATAAGCTGCAAAATATTTCTTGATTCGATCAGTATATGTCAAACGCTCACGCTTTCCTTATTTTACTTGTTGTGTATACAAAAATATATAGAGAACTGTTAATTTGTGAACCTTGTTCGACTATTTAATATTCAATCCACACGAACAAGTTCAATGAATGTCTCATGAATGACAAAAAGGTTTTGAATGGATCCTCACTTTTAATTTTATGCACAAGTCATCTTTAATAGCCTACATTTGCTGATTTTCAGATGTGAGAATGCATATCGGCTAGTTTTATCGATATCGTTGATGATATTATGGGTGCAACGGTGACAGAACTACGATAAAACGGTTACATTGTAGTGGAAAAGAAACTCAACATTTCCAATATCCTTATAGATGCCAAGTAGTGCTTTTTAAGCCTGCGTCTAGGCTTTTTATTGTTGTTATTTCTTTTTTCTTCTTGGTTTACCGGTGTATCCGGATTGACCGATTTGAGAGCTTTCCAAACGTCCTCGTTCATCTATACTCCCTCCCATCTGATGTAATTTTTCGCCATTTTTTCTGTCATTTATTTAATCAGTGGTAGAAACTTTGTTTTTGTAGAATCGAATAATAGGCACTTATTTGAGGCAATATTTTATTCCTTATTATATTGATGCTACGAAATTTCACATTGACCTCAGATCTCTTAGTGTTCATGAGAATGTTATGAATGAAAAATTACCCATTTTTCATGGTTTCAGAACATGTATTTTCTAACAATTGATTTTCTTTCTCAAAAATTCTTCTTTGATTCAAAAATATGTCTTATTCTACAATAGTATTCAAAGGACCTGTTTCAAAAGGTTCACTGACGTTGAACGGTGTTGAGATAAAGGAAGTTACGCCATTCTCACGAAATCCCATCCCGGTCTTCTTAAAATAATTAAAGAAGAGAATACCTATAACGCTAAAGTTATAGCACAAAACGCTCCTCACAACTCTTATCTAAGTCCCGAGAATTCTTTATGGTGTGGAAGATTTCAAGAATCTCAAAAGTATCAGAACACTCAATTTTTTGGAATAAGACCTACTGCGGTGTCTCTATATGGGAAGAATTATATGCAGGGCTCTCGATTGTAATTATAAGACTTAAATTTCTAAATAACTGGTAAATAGACAAGCGGATGTCAACTGAACTTCTCAGAATCTATACATCGTCATTCACTATCCATTTAGAGCTCTTCATGTAAGAGTGCTCATTTAGCGTATCTCTTTTTTGCATACCCTCATCGTATTACGTTTTAAACAGAGACCATTAAAAAAGGCTGGTGGCATTTTTCAAAACTTTTTGACATTTCTGTATTTGTTAGTTTTTAAATATTTAGGTAATCTACTACTACCCGTCTTTTCATGGAAGTCGGATTCGAACGTCTCTTCAGTTCAGTTCTTTCTCATACGTAGTCCGATTCCTGTGTGAGTTCGAGCAAAGGTTGGGTACTCTTCTTTTCGACTCATTGATATCACGAATGGCGCTCGATGGTGGTTTTCTCTTGAATTCTAAGGCGACCGAAGCAGGTTGCTAACAGATCTTCTATAATGTAGTCGCAGGTAGTCTATATGAATCCGGAAGAGGTTTCGTATTTACCAGTTAGGATATCTCCGTGACGGCAGCAATTCGGTGGAGGCAGTGTTCTTGGTGCGTTATCTAACAAGACAAGCCCTTCACAAGCAGGATGAGCAGCGTGTTTTCAAGAGTATTTTTATTTCTTCTCCACTCTTTCGTGCAAAATCTGATAGTTAAGACATCCACCTGTACTTGCATCCTGAAAGGCGACCTACAGTCAATGTATCGATGACTCATTGTCCGTTAAGAAATTTTCTTCATAGTGATCAGTGTGATTGATGAGGGATAGTAGATATGCAAGGACAGTAATAAAGGTAGTAAATCACTATCTAGAACAAGAAACGGAATAACAATGGTTGGGGCTAATTTATATTTAGGGCGCGTGTGGCGTAGTGGTCGGAGGCATCCTGCAATACACATGAGATGGAACTACGCGACCAAAGCTCACTAAGCCCTCCATACCTCTGAGGTCGGCAAATTGGTACCAGACCGAAACATCGGCAGGCCATTGCTGGCCATTCTAAGCGTTAACGGTCAGAAATGCATACAATCACCTCCAACGACGAGTAATGAAGTCGAATGCATGGCGTATTCCTCAGAAACTGATCAACTTCGAAAACTTTATCCTTCCTTCAATTTGTATTTAACTAGGGGAGTTTAAAAGAAAAGCTGAAAATTGAGGCGTGATAAAACGGCGATCATTCGTTGATGTTAAAGTGAATCTTAAACATCACATTGTGGTTAAGATTCAATTTGACAGTAACGGCCTTCTCTATTTAAATAAAAGAATATACGTGTGTAGAAGCAAATATGAAATAAGTTTCCATCTTCTCATTTGTTTGACTTTATCCAAAACATTCTTCTACTTACATGAAAATCTTGCGTAGGATAAATTTCCTACAGCATCGAAATCTTCAGGATTGTATATAATTCACCTCCAGAGCTAATAAAAAGTCACCACGTAACATGTAATGTGAGCAGCACTGTCTATACTATACTATGCTTTAGAACTGAAACCTGACTATTGACGGGGGCGAAATTAGAGAGGAAAGGAGCCGAGTATAGGATGCTCATAATCTCGTAGTGGAATTGGGATACACTGTGTGTGTGTTTGTGTATATGTGTATGTGTATGTGACTACGTGTATGTGTATGCGTATCTGCAAATGCGTGAATGTATGCTTGCGTGCGTGCGTGCGTGCGTGTTTGTGTGCATGTTTGTGTGTTTGTGTGTCTGTGCGTTAGTGTGATGCAACCAAATACATCGATGCTAAGGCTCTCGGCGTTCATCAATCGCTGAGGGATGCGCCATGCATTCGACATCATTAAACTTCGTTTGGAGGTGATTGAATGCATATCTGGCCTTTACATTGACTCGCGATGGCCTGCCGATGTATCGAGTCAGTGCTTCTATCCTCCAAGAGTGGGCCTTAGGCGCAGAGATCGATTCTGCTCTAATGCGAAATATCAGAATATTTGATAAGAATTTCCGGAAAAAAGGCGTCAACACCGGGAAATCACTATAATCATCAACCACCATTCTGTATAAAAGAAAGTAGTGTGGTGAGAATGGTCCATTCTAGAGATGCTCCAGTGAGGAACATCCGATTCGACTGGAAGACAAAGTCGTCACATCCAAAAGACGAGCAACTGTTTACAACCGACTTGGATCATCAGCTATGATGGAGACAAAGATGTCGAAACGTCAGCCGAATGAAGAGTGTTTATCAACCTCATGTAGCCTTAACAAAGAAGGAATACATGTCGACGCTTCCGAATTTGAACGAGTTTTCGTTACTCAGGCCAAAAATGCTGTTTTCTTCCCTCTTTTCTATCATATTTTTCTTTCAGTTTATTCATTGTTCGTCTAGCCTCCAGTGGGTAATTGCCTGCTTAGCTCAATCAAAAAATTAGTGGTTTTTCACCCTTCACTAGAATAAATGGCGGCATTTTTTTCAGACTGTAAAAGTTCTTCCCCAAGGTGAAGAAAATTTGGCACTTTATCTTTCAATGCATGTTTTTAATGAAACGCGGATTTTTTTTATTGTGTTAATCCTGAGCGATTGAAAGAAGTGATAGAATCCAGCTGGTTAGTGATCAGCAGCGAACCAGTGAGTGGTTCATCCGATAATCTTCTAGCAAGTTTAACTTGGTAATTCTGCTATCTCTTTTCATAAAAAAAACATCCGAATTACTTGTTGACTACGGCTATCTGTCATATAAGAACGGTGAGACAATTTGTACCTGTAAAATTGCAGCGGTGCTAAGGTTTGTTCCATATCTGGAAACTTCTTTTAGATCCACTCGAACGCTTTACGGTTATTTCATCGGTGATGTTTTGGAGAAAACTACAATATCCTGCGCTACACAAAAATGCATTCAACCAGCAACAAAAAAAAAATGACAACAGCTGCATCGCCTTCGTTTCCGTATTTCCACTCACACACACTTCATAAGATTGCATCTTCACCTACTTAGCTATCAAAACAACGTTCAGAACATGCCGGATTTTCACTCCACTTTACACTCTAAGCCTCATATCTTGTATTATCCATTTTCTCACACCACTACACTGATGACAAACCGTTACCGCTTTCATCCAAAAGTGAACGCTGATGCTCCGAAATGACATGCTGCTCCACAAATAGCTGATACTAAGCCGAGATCCAAAACTAACGAAAAAGAGCACCGTTTCGACCGTATAACCATAGACACAGACCCGATCAATAATCGATCATGAGGTTAAGGAAAACGTCACCTGTACATTGAAACACTCAGCTGTATTGGAGCACATGTGTACAATGTAGGTTAAATTAATTTAATAACTCGGAAAACCGACTTTCTGCAAACTTCAGCATAAATGGTTGATACATTTATTTATATGTCCTCATGAACTAATTTTATTGAGCTGATACGAGGTTGGTTTAAGTTGCCGTTGTCGTCGTTACTGTTGGTGTCGTTGTTGCTGTTGCTGTTGTTGCTCTTGGTCGAAGGCTGATGTGTTGGCGATTTTGCTTTCCTTAGAGACATGTTATTGCGAGCGATCGTACGCACGAGTTGTACGCAATGTTTGTGATTCCTCGGCAAGTGCAAGAACACTCTAAAGGATTAAAGGAAAGGTTATTGAATTCCAAAGCATCAGACTGAACAAGCATGTAAGCAAAATTTAGGAACGAAAAAAGGGCATACCAAGTTCTCTTCAAAGTCGGCTGGCTCTGGATTCGTGCAAGTATGACTATAGCATATGAGCATATGAGCCAAAGCATATGACTCTTATCAGAGCCCTGGAGAAATTGTTGAAGAGCATTTTTAATTTGGCGTCGCGGTGTGGAAGGTGTCAGCCCATTGGTTCCAGTAGGTTGGCACCTTCCATAGCGCGACAAATTGGAACAAAGCTATTCAACATTCGAAATTCCAAGTTCTTAGACGACGTAAAGAGAAAATCGGGATTGGACAAAAATCGACACCGAGTGAAAGCTAAAGAATTACCTTAGCTTGCCAACGCATCGTCGCGGAACCATTAAGGTTTTATTGATAAACACCACCTCGGCAAGACAGTTAGTGACGTTCTTGATTGTCTTGGCTCTTCAAAGCATCAAGATATTAAAATAGATTTAACTGAGTAAGGCGACGAGCTAAATTTAGTAATCCATAAAAACCTACCGTTGACTTCCTGAGAGATTAACTAAGGACAGCTGCGAAGCAGTAAATCCATCTTGATTGCAAACAGACTGGGATGTGCAACAGCTCCCTTAAAATGAAATATAAGAAGTTGCACTCCAAACTGTAGTTCTTGGGTGAATTTTAGACTCATTTCTTTATCGGGAGTGCTTAAACAAACCTTGAAGCAGGCCATGACTAGATGAATTGTAAATACAGAATGTGAACGCGACGACTCCTTATTGAGGATAGTATCAGTCGTTGTTTGCCACTCTTCACCTAAATCATGAATGCTAGCATCTACCTCCAATACTCGAAGTCTGAACTACTACTAATAGAAAAGAGTTGTAATACGAAGTATAACCGGAATTGTGCCACATATCCACAAGCAATAGATAGTACCTTTGCAAAACAAATACAACGCTTCATCGCTGTCTCCGACCTCAGCTTCTCTCGCACCTTCTACATGCACCATATTGTTGGTGTCCAGGCGAGAATCACACTTCGTGAAGGTGCTTAACATTATTGTGTGTAACAATAAATGAAAATACTAATAAAAATGAATAAAAATCAGCAACTTTTCCTTTTCGAGCAAGGCACAACAGTCGTTGTTGTATATTTCGACGTAAAACTCGAAAACAACACAAACATAGTTGTCATTGCATCCCGATACCTAAAGTTACGTCGGTTCTTCCATAATAGGGAATTGTACACATTGGAGAAAGCAAAAAATATAACGTTGTTGTATCCCTTGGGCCGAACGTAAAAAGAAACTCACATAGGATGAACTAACACCCTTGTGGAAACCTATCATACACCTGACAACATTTTCATCCACGACAGTGACACATGGTGTGGGACTGTGGTACGGTGTCATACAATAAACCATTTTTACAGCGACCGTGTTTTCAAAAGCACATTCTGTGCGATTAGAATCGTCTCGAAATTGACTTCTTCTAGTTGTTACGGCACCGTCTGTAACATCAAAACGTGATACAAACACAACAAAAACTTACTATTATAGAGTTTACCACTGCTTTTGCATCATAGTTTAAGCCAAAGCGTGGTGGCGATGGGCTCTTTCAGAAGGCCGATGCACCAGAATTGTAGCGGTGTTGTAAGAACGGGGTGCAAGAGCGCGCAGGTGGGGAGGAGGATGCTGCACGGCCACGCGACTGTCATTGCGACGCGTATACCGTAGGTCCTCGGTCGACTTGTCGCGCTGGGACCTCTTCCTTGCATTGTTGGTCAGCTCTTTAGTACGCGATTCTATAGCGCTGTTTATCCGAAACATTTGATGGAATTAGCTTCATAGACGTGAATTGAAGCAAAGGGATGGCAACTATTTTGGGGTATAGTTACTATACGTGGTGAGTTCGCAGTGTAAAAATATGAAGAAACAAATCATACACTTCCAAAGTGGTTTCGAACTTTCGAAAGCTGATAAATAGAAAAGATTGCCGTGCGATAGGCTGAACAATTCAAATCGTGGGACGTCAAGAATCTGAGTTACTCATCCATATCTAAATTTCATAACAAATATGGAGGTATGTCACATGCAGACTCAAGAGCCTTCACAAAGATGACACAAACGACCTCCTAGATTTTAGACTTATCAGGCTTCATTTAACGATTCCCACCACCAGCTCGCTATTAATCTCGGCGCTGATCAAATGATACTTGATATTTTTGTTGAGCAAGCAAGATATGTTTCCTCTATAATATTTTTAATAAAGAAGGGGTCCCGTTACGAAATGACGGCGGTGTAGGCTTTGTCGTCCACCTGCCCCCATTGTCCATCCCGTTAACTCCTACGAGATCCTCTCGTTTCCAACGGCTGTCCCCAGTATTCAAGTGATGTGTCATAAGAATGTCATAATCATCAATTTCTACTCACCGACTAATGCAGCTGATGAGTACGAATTGTATACGTTCTAGGAGGAATTTATTCGCAGTGATAAAGCGCATTATAAATTTACTGTTGGAGACTTCGACGCCAGAATAGGAATGTTCAATGGAAAGCTTCTGTAGGATCGGAAATAATGAACTATGAGAAAGAAGTTAAAATGAGAACCACCTAGCAGGACTTATTTCAGCAGCACGTTTCCTCCATGGAAACTCGTTTTTCCAGAAGAAAAAACCGCCGCTGCACAAAGGACACTCTTAAGGGCAGGACCCATGCGGGGATCGACCACATTTTGATAAAGAGAAGATGGTGCTTATTTGACACATCGATAGTGATGCCATTTTGTGCTGGTCCCGATCACCGCATTCTTCAC